ATGACTAAAAAGTGGTTCCCTACCGACAAACATTGCAGGGTGTGAAGGTATATGTTGTCGGTAGAGTAATGGAAAATGTTGTTTTCTTAGAGTTTCTAAATGTTTACACTGGATTAGTATGTGAAGGACTGTTAATGTTTCACCACATTTGTCGCACAATGGTGGATCGTCACTAGACAAAAGATGTGTGTGTGTTGCGTATGTGTGTCCTATCCTGAGTCTCGTTAGTATTACCTCTGTATAACGCGATTTTGATACTGGCAGCCAATGACCAAGGTGTGGCTTAATAATGTGTAGTTTGTTTTGTGTGTGTGTATTCCACTTGCTCTGCCAGAAGTCTCTGATGTTTCGTTTGAGAGACGGCTTAAGATCAAGGGCCGGGATTAATATGGGTGTAGTGGCGGTGCCCTCGTGGACGGATGCAGCAAGCTGATCCGCCATCACGTTGCCTTGAATCTCACGATGCCCTGGCACCCAGCACACTACAACATGTTGGTTGAGTGTGTAAAGTGTGCATAAAATAGAGTAAAGTGAGATGAGGACAGGGTTTTTTTGTTTTTTAAGACTGTGCAGAGCCGTTACCACACTAAGGGAGTCTGTATAAATTACTGCTTTTTGTATTTGTAATTGTTTGATGTGTTTAGCTGCCACAAGTATCGCGTAAGCTTCCGCCGTGAAGATACTTGTGTCTGGATGTAGAGGGCCAGCATCCGAAAAGGATGGGCCGACAGCGGCGTAGGACACAGAGGAGTTAGACTTGGAGGCATCTGTAAAGAACTCAGGACGTGTGTATTTGTGTTGAAGTTCCAGGAAGTATGTTCGGATATGGGCAATAGGCGCATGTTTTGTAACTTCAAGAAAGGACACATCACAGTCTATAGTCTGCCATTGCCACGGTGGCAGATATGCTACAGGAGCCATTAAACTATGTTCAAGTGAGACTCCAGTTTCCTCAGCTAGCCTTTTCAGGCGAACTGAGAAGGGCTGCCTCATCGAAGGCCTGTTTTGAAACAGAATGGAGCTCGACAAATCAATAATAGTGGAGTATGAGGGGTGCTTCTTATCTGCTTTCACCTTAAGGAAATAAACAAAGGACATGTAAGTTCTCTGCAGATGAAGCGACCACTCATTCGACTCAACATAAAGGCTTTCTACGGGGCTGGTGCGAAAAGCACCCGTAGAAAGGCGGATGCCCAAATGGTGCACGGGGTCAAGCATCTTCAAGGCACTTTGAGTGGCAGACTGATAGACAACGGCCCCATAATCTAAGCGGGTACGAATAAGGCTTCTATAGAGGTTCATGAGGCATTGCCTATCACTACCCCACGTAGTACGTGACAACACTTTTATAACATTCATGGCTTTTAAACATTTAGTTTTTAAATACTTTATGTGTGGTACGAAGGTCAACTTGTTGTCCAAGATTAAGCCTAAAAATTTATGCTCGGCTTTGACGGACAGACGTTGCCCGTTCAGCCGAATGTCAGGTTCCGAGTGCATGCCTCTCTTTCGAGAGAACAAGACACACGTGCTTTTTTGTGGGTTAAGTCGAAATCCGTTTTCGTCTGCCCATTTGGAGACCTTATTTAAACCCATCTGAACCTGCCGCTCACACATGGCTAAGTTGCATGACTTGAAGCCAAGCTGAACGTCGTCGACATATGTACAATAGAACATCATGTGGGGAATGGACAAGTGCAAAGAATTCATTTTGATGATAAAAAGTGTGCAACTAAGCACACCACCTTGTGGCACGCCTGTTTCCTGGACAAATGTTTGGGAGAGCACACTGCCTAGACGGACACGGAATGTCCGGTTTGACAGGTAACTTTCGATTATATGAAACATTCTTCCGCGCACACCAAGGTGGGACAGGTCTCTTAGAATTCCGAAACGCCATGTTGTATCATACGCCTTTTCGATATCGAGGAACACAGAGAGAAAATATTGTCTATGGACGAAGGCGTCTCTTATCTGTGCCTCGATGCGAACAAGGTGGTCTGTGGTGGATCTACTTTCTCGAAACCCGCACTGAAATGGGTCGAGCAAATTGTTTGTTTCAAGAACATGTAGAAGTCGGCAGTTTATCATTTTTTCGAATACTTTACACAAGCAGCTTGTAAGTGCTATAGGCCTATAACTTGAAGCTAAAGAAGGGTCCTTGCCCTCTTTCAGAATGGGAATATTAATCGCCTCTTTCCAGGAAGTAGGGATAGTGCCAGAAAACCAGATAGCATTGTATAAACAAAGTAAGGTTTTGCGTGTTTCGGCTGGTAGGTTTTTTAACATTTCATACACCACACGGTCAGAACCTGGGGCAGAAGTTTTGCAGGAGTTTAGAGATGTTCGGAGCTCAGCTAGACTGAAAGCTTGGTTATATGCCTCATATCTAGTGGATTTATGTTCTAGTTTCTGCTTTTCTATTCTTGTTCTGTATTTTTGGAAAGTATCAGTATAGTGGGACGAGCTGGATACCCGTTCAAAGTGTGCCCCGAGGAAGTTTGCCTGATCTTCCAAGGTATCACCTTGAGTGTTTACGAGTGGAAGTGTGTGTACTTGTTTTCCTGCTATCCTACCGACCATGTTCCAGACTTTTGCCTCCTGTGTGTATGAATTGATCCCCGACAAAAACTTCTGCCAGCTTTCTCTTCTGGCCTGCCGACGCGTTCTCCTTCCTTGAGACTTTATTTTCTTGAACGTGTCAAGATTTTCCGCTGTTGGCGAGTTGCGCAGCAATCTCCATGCCCTGTTCTGTTCCTTTCGCGCATTACGACACTCCGTGTTCCACCATGGGACGTGTCGTTTGCCGGGCATTCCAGATGTTTGCGGTATGCACCTGGCTGCTGCGTCAGTTAGAAAAGCTGTGAAGTACTTCACAGCTTCATCTATGTCTAACCTACATATGTCTGTCCAACTCAAACGTGTAGTGTTGTGGAACTGTTCCCAGTCTGCTTTGTTCATCAGCCATTTGGGAACATGTAGAGGACATTCATATGTTGTTTGTGAACTCAACACTACAGGAAAATGGTCACTTCCATATAGATTATTTATGATTTTCCATTTCAGTAGGGGTAGGAGTGAAGGCGATACGATGCTGAGGTCTATAGACGAGTAAGTTTTGTTGGCAATGTTATAGTATGTTGGCTCTTTCCTATTCAACAAACAGGCACCGGAAGAGAAGAGAAATTGTTCAATGAGACGACCTCGTGCATCACAGCGAGAATCGCCCCAGAGTCCACTATGTGCATTTAGGTCGCCAAGAAGCAAATAGGGTTCAGGCAGTTCGTCTATTAAAGACTGAAATTCACGTCTTTCAAGACGGTGGTGGGGAGGTACATACAGAGAGCAAATGGTGACGAGTTTGTTTAAAAGTACCGCTCGAACAGCCACCGCCTCAAGGGATGTCTGGAGTGGTAAATGTGTACACGCTACTCCTTGGTTAACAATAATGGCTACGCCACCGGATGACGCCACAGCATCATCTCGGTCCTTTCGGTATATGACGTAAGCACGTAAAAAATTTGTATTGGAGGATTTTAGGTGTGTTTCCTGTACACACAGCACTTGAGGTGAGTGTTTGCATAAAAGCTCTTGGACGTCGTCGAGGTTTTTAAGCAGGCCTCTGACGTTCCAATGAATAATTTGTGTTTCCATATTGGAAGTAAAGTAGTGCTGTGTGTACGTTAAGGGAGTGACTTGTTTAAGGTGAAAGATCAAGCTCAAGTAACAGGGCTATTATCAGGCCCTGTTATGAGCTTCTTAGTTCTCTTGGCGCGCTCCAGAGAGCCGCGCCGCTCTTTTGGCACCAAGGGTGCCGCCGTATCTATTGCCTCCTCGGAGGCACTGGATGCCCGCTCATGCGAGCTGGTTTTTCGAATCTTGGGCCTCGCCTGGCGAGGTGAGGCCTTGAGACCCGAGGACCCTGGAGTCTCTGGTCTCTGTTCAATAGTAGGCGGAGTAGACTCAACTACTGCCGCCTTGGGGGCAGGCGCCACAACCAATGGCTCGCTCTGCGGAGGCCGAAGGATGGGCGAGGGCTGGTGCGACACTGCCCCCTGGCGCGCCGCATCAGCATATGTGGGGCCATAAAATGGCGAGACTCTTTTTCTTGCTTCTTTAAATGTAATGTTTTCTTTTATCTTTAAAGTGATGATCTCTTTTTCTTTTTTCCAGAAAGAACAGGAACGTGAGTACGCAGCGTGATTCCCGCCACAGTTCACACAGTGTGCAGGTGCTTCGCAGTTGTCGGACGCATGGCCCACGACTCCACACAGAGCACAAGTTTTCCGGCCACGACAGCTTTGCGAGCCGTGGCCATATCTCTGACATTGGAAGCAACGGCGGGGGTTGGGAATATATGGTCTCACGGATGTCTTTGTGTACCCAGTCTGAACAGTTTCCGGCAAATCGCTCGAAGCAAAGGTCAGTACTAAATGTTTGGTTGGGATTTCCTTTTGATCTCTTCTGATCTTAATACGCTGTACGTTTGTCACGTTCTGGCTTTTCCATCCTTCCAGAAGTTCAGCTTCCGTCAGCTCAAGCAAATCTACGTCCGATACGACCCCGCGAGATGAGTTCATGGACCTGTGTGGCGTAATACTGATGGGTGTGTCTCCAAACGTTGTGATGGTGTTCAGTTTATCGAATTGGTCTTTGTCACGTATTTCAAGGAGTAGATCTCCACTGGCCATTTTGGTAACCTTGTACCCGGCACCGAGAGTTTCGGTTAAGCATCTAGAAACTACGAAGGGGGATACAGTTCTGGCTTGCTTGTTAGTTTTTTCGCAGTGTATAACGTGAAAATGAGGAAACAATTGTCTTGGCCGGTTGAAAAAATTGATGTCTTCGGTGCGTACCCGCTTTGAGGAGGCACGATCACTGAGTAAAGGGAATGCTTTATGCATGCTAATTGTATGTTGTTCAGCAGCGTTGGCGGCCACCCACCACGGAGCCCAACGAGGGGACGCTACAAGTTTGCGGATGCTGAAACCTGCAGACGCCAGCCGTACAACGCCACTATAACCCAATGCGCCTAGACCAAGGTAGGCTATTTGCACAGGGTTAACCCTTGCCGCCAGGAAAATTGGAAGTAAACAGAAGAGAGAAGTAGACAGGAAAGCTAAAAAAGTAAGAAAGACGAAGATGTAGGGAGAGAGAGATAGGAAAAGGCGACTGCCGATTTCCCCTGGGTGGGTCAGCCCAGGGGTGCCGTCTACGTGAAGCCGGGGCCAAAGGGGTGTGTTGCCTCTGCCGGGGGGCCTTAAAGGTCCAATCACCCAGCGTCAGCTCAACCCCCAGGATCCCCTTTTCCCCGGACACGGCAAAGCCACGCACGGCTAGGCGTGGGAGGGAGTAGAAACTCCCCCGTTAGCTCGGGTCTAGAAGTTGGTTTTTCTTTCGCTAACCGTGACTATCACAATGACAAGCTACGAAAGTCTTGAACAGTAAGGAAACTTATTTATCGCTATAAAACGATCTGCAATGCTTTTATACTGTTTGGGGGTACTGTCAGTTTTGCTAGTAGATCATTCAATGCGAAAAACAGTTTTCATTGCATGATACGTTACTGCAGATAAAAAAATTACCATTTTAAAGATCTCAGGGGATGAGGACGACTGTACTAGTGTGCCAAGAGTTTCTTTCGGGATCGCTGCTTCAGCCGATATTGTCAGTCAATTGGCACAAAGCGCAGCACCTATTGAGCGCGTTGAGATATCTTTTAGGGGGGAAGCTCCTTAAAGTGGCACCCATTCGTCCCTCGTAGTAGTGCGTAACATGTCTTGCGCTTTGACCTGCAAGGAGGTGGCGGTGGGAGATTTCTTCTGTGCGTTGTTGAACAATAAAAAATCGCAGTAATCTTCGACGACTTGCGCGTGAAATCACGTTTTCACTATGGTGCCCACCAAGCAACGAGACGAATCGTCAACACCACCTGTCCTCTGTGATGGCTCTCCGCATGCCCACTGGGCTGGACCGAAGAGAAGCTACCCTCCTCCATCGCTTATGGCCAGGAGTGGCATTTACAAAATCTTACTTCTTTGTCGTTGGAATGGCCGACAACGCTTTCTGCGATGCCTGCCATTGTGAAGAGACGCTACACCACACCCTCTACGACTGTCCGTTGTATGACATCCAGAGACAGCCTCTGGCGTCCATTTTTTTCGCGCATCGACAACAGACTGTGGACACTATTCTGTCAAGTGCCCGAGAGAAGACATTGCAACACAAGGCGACAAAAGCTCTGTTGAAATTCCTACGTGACACGGACTTGAACAAGCGGTTGTAACAGCAATGTCACACACCGCGAAAGACAAGACTGGACTACAACTGAGTGTGCGCGCGTGTGCTGCTGAACGTGCTGTGTTTATCTCTCTTCCCTCTCTGCTCTCTATCTCTCATCTCCCCCATCCTCTTGTCATGCGCAAGGTAGCAAACCGACTGCCTATAGTCTGGTTAACCTCTCTGCCGTTCTTTTCTCCTATTTTATTTCTTGCTAGTTTATGAAAAAACAAATCAAGTACCGTCTCTTATGAGTAAAAGAGAGAGAGCAGAAGAAGAGAGGATAAAAAGTCACAGCTTTGCCGCAAAGACAAAGCAATGAACGTGACAGCAACAAATTGGTAGGCCACGTGCAGAATGGCAGGCAGTTCTAAACGTGTCCCGTGTTTTTTACGCCCAAATGACGCACAAAACGTACTCAAATGTACACACAAATGCAAATAAGCGTCTCAGTTTTTATTACATCGATACTCTGAAAAGCGCTCTATTTTCGCAAACGGAGGCTGTTCAATGATTGCAGTGGCCTTTGTGCGCTCCGTAACTACAATAGAATCATTTCAGTGCAAGGGCAACTTGAGCCAAAACGTATGATCCCCCCCCCCCGGAAGATAAGGGTGTGTGAGAGATCATCCACTCCCCTTCTATCCGCGGGCCAAAGTGCGCGTGAGAGACGAAAGCTGCCACGCGCTTATTGCGCCACCTTGCTGATAATGCTAAAAAAACAACGATAGCCCCCCCCCCCCCCCAATGCTCGCCAACAGTGGTAAGTGGTAGGCGTAACAGCTTCCTGATTGAACGTTGAAGAAGGTGCTCTTGGTGGCTCAGTGGTTAACGCCACGCATTCACGACGCGGAGGTCGCACATTCGACTCCACGCGCCGGAGTCCTTTTTCTAGAATTTTAGGGGTGAAGTTTCTTAAGGCGTGGGTCTGTCTATCCTCCGTCGTTGTCGTACATACCTACCGGGAGGCGAGATGGGAGATGGCGGTACTTTGAGTGTTCACTAGATGAATGCATGGACGGACGCATGGATGGACAGACTCACTAGTAGATGGATGGACGCATGAAGTGGGTATGTGCCACAAGGGATGCGAGATGGCGGTAGTTAGAACGTTCACTAGATGAACGCAAGGACGGACACACAGACTAGAAGATAGACAGACAGATGGACGGACGCGTGTACGTGCGGACGGATGGACGCACAGACGGTCGCGCGGACGGACGGAAGTAAGAATGAAATGATGGAAGGAAGCGTGGACGCGCTGACGAACGCTTCGCCCCACTTATCATCATTCACTCCGTGGATATGCTGTGATTTTTTTCTGTCTTGCGTTTTCATCTACACGTAGGTGTATACATATGCGGTGAATGACTCTGAAGCCTGTGGCGAAATTCAGCCAAAAGTGTTCATATAATTATTGTCGTAATAAAACATTTATTAGGTTGTGCTTCTGGTGTACTCAGAGAGACGTGTGGACAGCAACACAGCCATTAACTCAACTCGTGGCAGCGAGATTTACTTCGTTGGCGCTATTCTTTTTGCAATAAGTAATTCAGTGCCTTTTGTCTTCTCGTAGAAATTGATCAAATAAGCTGCCGTTCAGTATGCATATGAAGTTGCGTCTGAAAACAAATGAACTTTCTTTTAAATAGGTTTCTCTTTCGTCTTGCATTAAACCATCGTAGTACACTGAACTTTCGAACAGATTCCAGCTGTTGAATTCATTTTGCTCCACGACTGCGTTTCATCATCTCGCAGCGAGTCGTTCCACGACGTTTTTTTGCTCCACGTGTTTTGCATTTCTTGCTTGGCTGTTACCGTGACTGGAGTGAAGAGCCTCAGAAGATCGTATTGCGGGCGAGGAAATGGAGTGGCACCGTCTTCGGGAGTCCTTTTGTGACGCATAAAAGGACATCTCGGGTACCAGCAGTGTGAAGTGTTCGCCAAATTCCATGACTCTGGCTCTCTGCTATGGCTCTTCTCGCTTCGCAAGCAAAAGTTGTAGTACTTAGCTGTGACACAAGCTATAGTGTTAGCCTACAAAGATATTTAGTGACTCATAAACAAGAATTCCAGCCAATAAAATAACAATTTGTTGGTAGTCTAGCCACTTTCCTGTCTGCTTCTTTGTTTGCTGTCTTTTTTATTTTACTGACAGGATTTTTTATGTAACGCAACAACTAGCCCTACACAGGGTGTTATTAGGCTATTTAGCATGCCAGCGTAGAATCGTAGCCACGTCATTCGCTTTCGGTGAAGCGTGTGTGCATGATGCTATCGAGGCACAACGTGAAAAGGCGCGGTAAAGGTTGAGCTGATATGTACCTCATCAAACAATCTGTAAATCGAAGCATTTTCGCAATGTGCGAAGATTTATGGTTACTGAGGAGAGTGCGATGGCACGTACCAGTTTTGCGCGGAAAGTACGCGGCCGAGAAGTAACAATTTAATGAGTGTGGACTGCCACGCAGGATTCACGGCAACACCTCGCGCTACGTTTCAGGGTGGTACAAAATGACGGAGGGGAGCGATGCTTTTCTGTCGGGTACTGAATACGCTTGATCTTTCATAATGGTATCGCACCTTTTTCGCCACAACAGCATTACTCTTCTCAACAACCATGGTTTCTGCAGCCCACTACTTTCCCTTCTATTATTGCTGAATGATGATTTATCAGACGTATAAGTAAATAAGTGAAACTTCACCCGCATATAGCTTGTCTCCCTGGTGTTCGCTTGCACTACACGCGCTTCTTTGCGCTGGGTTCATTGACTGACGTGATGCGATGTGCGAATGCTGCAAAAATGCCTGCTCGCACCGTTAGCTTGACTATTATTTACAAGTACTTTATCTCATTTTCAGCGACTCTTCCGGCTCTGGAGTCAACCAACTTGATTCACAGCAACTCAGCACACCATGGCTGCTAACAGAACAGACGTCCGATTATGCAACGCAAAATGACAGCATCGAACAAAACCATTCTTCTCAGCTTCAGCAGCACACAGCTGGAAAAAGACCTGTCGGCATGGCCTGAATAAACGTGAAAAATTTTTATGTGTACATCTCCGGACAGCCCTATGTCGTATTCACCAGATGTGAACCCCAACGCAATACAGAAAATATTTTTTGTGAAAGTTCTTGCCGCACACGTGACCATCAATGCTGGGCTGTCTTCCTCATTCTTGGCTTTATCGCACATGCATCCCACTGCTTCCTATTATAGCACATGCTCGAAAACTCACACAATTAGTATGAGGCAACCATTAGCGGCGTTTTGTGGGCAGCGCAATTCATGCGGCTAATTCGGATCGCGGAGCCAGTTCCCGACGCGTAATCTAACGAAGTCGATCGGTTCCGCGAAGGCGAACGGGGAAGACCCGCGCACAGGAAAAAAAGGAGGCTCCTTTGTTCACGCGGTTCACGAGTGGAGCCGTCAAGGTCACCCCTGTTTTGGACTAGAAAAGGCAAGCTTACTCAGGCGCGCGTCTTGCCAGAGTCCCGTCAAGCGCGGTCGTCTGAGCTTAAGTCATTGTTGGCGTGCACGTGTGCCATTGGCAATGCCGCAGGGACGTGACCATTGGGCTGACCGAGACATGGTACTGCACAGAGACGAGCTTATCCTGCTCCGCTATTCGTCATTACCGAGTGTTGTTAGGATGTCGGGGTGCCTCGCTGTCGCGTGCACACTTGGTCAATGCACAGGGCCTGGCAGTGTACTCTCCTCGGTTGAGGAGGCTTCTACAAAGCGACGTTTATTGAGAAGCTAATAGAGTTCGAGTGTGAGAACGGCTACCGACGTAGGTCAGCCGATACACGGCCTGGCATGGGAGAGGTTATGACACGCGGAGAACCTATGCCTTCACGTGTTGTATTCGGTAATGTGGTTTCGACTTATGCAGTGCTATTAGGAAAGAGTTTGTGCGATTGGTTGTGATGAAGCGAGCCACAACAAGTGATTATTTTGTGGGTTGACCCTTTGTTCAACCAAAGGTTGAAAGGATGGTGTTTGAATGTGAAATGAAGAGCAAAGGTTCGGGTTTGGACTCGGGCAGGTGCCTGAGGCTGCAATAAAGCGTCTCTTCACCGGACTACGGCTCTTCCTTCACGCCGCCACTGAGCACTCGGGTCATCGAGGCGTACCCATTTCGAACTCAAACACGTTCCCTCCTTAGCTACTTTAGAAGCTAGTCCAGGAGCTGGAAATAACTCACACCAAGAGAGAAGTAGATACCACAGAATGCGTTCCTTTAATTACAAAAGGGACGAACGAATGGTTTCTCGAATTTCACGCTTCGGCAATCCTTCTTTTCCGTTTGGTGCAAAGAAAAGGATTAAATTCTTATTCCTACAGATCACGCAGTAGACCATCATACACACTGAACACTTTATCGCCCATACCTGGCGCAAACTCTTTGTTGATCTACAGACGCTTGAAAAAAAGAAGTAGCCGCTGCGTGAGCTGCATACTTGCGGTTGAATACTGAGGTTTCTGCCAATTTCAGTTTCATCAGCCAAGTGTATCGGTTCCGCGACGTTTTAGAAGGGCTCATTCACAATTAGGATCACTAGAATGCGTGTGCTACGGAGCGGAGCGTATCAAGAATCCTGTAAGTAATAAAATGAACTTACTCGGGGTCGAAAATAAGTGCGCTGCACTGATGATTGCATGAGTGGGCCACGTGATGTCATTATATACGTCACAGTGACAGCAGCGCTGCCCTCTCCAGTACTAGCCTTCGCTGCCAATGCTCATGCTGGGAGGTGTAAAATTTCGATCTTCTTTAGGTACTGCTGGTATTATAGTCTTTTATGCCAGACGATAGTAAGCCAGTATATCTTCAAGGCAAAGTCGGAATCTTTTTCATCTTCAAGACGATAATCTTAGATTTTCATGAAATACTTGGAAAAGGAAGTGTAACGCAAAGACAAAGCAACGATAGCAGAACTAAGGGTCACAAAAAAATTGGTTTATTTGTTAGGTACAGTTGCAAAAATTCGCATATTTTGTGAGACAACCGCTTATTACATTGATGACTGTAGGAAATCGATGCCCTATGAAGAGAAAAAAATTAACCTCGAAGAATCAGATCAATGTGTTAGTGGTACAAGGCCTCGCCACATTGCTAAAATGTGTAAAGCAAGCTTGAGGTGCAATATATGTTAGAAAGGGCATGCGCCACCCATGTGTCGACAAAAAAAAAACTTTCAGAAAATTTTATAGTGAATGATCTAGGTGAAAGTAAAAAGAAAAAAAGAGCAAAATTGTACCTGACAAACTACGTAAAGTTCATGAAGCATTTTTCTACAGGCATTGGCCAAAGGCTGGAAGAAGTCATGTTAATGTCCTGTTGTACTGCATACTGGCCGCCAAAGATGTTTTGCTCGAAAAGGGTTGCTTGAGCAACTTGTTTACTAGTGAGAAGAAAAGAAAGATTCATGATAAGCTCGTTTGGAGAAAAGGATATTGAAAATGGCCTGAGGTGTGTTGATGGTAAACTAAATGTACTTGTAGTGGTGAAAAAGTGTTTTTAGAACTGATGGAGATTGACATCCTTTCAAAAGCAATAGTACCGTTCCTAACTATCAAACAGCAAAAAGAAATATGAAGCGAATGAATTGAAGCTGCTTGACGACTTAGGTAGAAACGCAGAGAGCAGTGAAATCGGCATGACTGTTGGCTCAGACCAGTATTGGCAAGTGATGAAAGGTGTCATCCGAAAGCTAGAAGAGAAGTTCACCGCAACAGAAATTTCATTCGGTTGCACTGTACAAGGTAAAGCTAACGTGTACAACAATGAAGCAAAAGGGGAAAGTAATGGTGCTTCACTATGACGCACAGAAAAGTGACACAACGACCGAACCAGAAGAGGTCATCATGAGCAGGACAATTAACGTGAAGGGAAGAAGGATGTTTGCTCACGACGCATGTTTCTGAGAAAAACTGATTTTTTATAAAACACGAAAGCAGGTGCCTTGATTGTGGACTCAATAAAGTTATTTCACTCACTCACATCAGCACAGAAAATAGTGACTAATGACCGAACAGCGACACACACCAGAAGAGGTCGGATAATATTGCATAATTCAGTGAAGACACGAGGTTGCTTCACAATTATGCAAACGTTTCTGAGGAAGACCAAGCTTTGATAAAACACGTAAGCAGCATGATGCGAAGTGGACAAACATACAGCGAAAGCCAGCCTAATTTGCAACCAAGTGCGACGAAGAAAGTTATAGCGAATGGAGTCTCATCAAAACAGGAAAGTCAGACAACCACAGTGCAAGTTGAAGCAACGCTGATCAGCGAGCCACCGGCCACTAATGCGTGCAGAGGACCAAATAAGCTTGCACCTGTTGCGATGACAGACATAATTCTGAAGAAAGTACGCTGCAAGGGCTTACCAAATTACGAAGAAGTCAGCGCTGAAAAAACTTGAGAGTTAAACAGAGAAAACGGAAGGACTCCTCCAAACGATGTAACATGAAATATTGGAAAGAATCAACAAAGCAATATCACACCAACAGACAAGCTGCATCGGTGAAAAGGTGTTGAAGAAGTAATCAAAAACTTTCTCATGGCGTGTATGGCAGCAGGAGCATGGTCTCATCGGCTGCCAAATACCTTTTCATAATCTTACCAAGGTTTCTGAAGAATCCAGGAGGGCGTAGCGAAACCAAGGTCGGTGTACTGGTGTAGCTTGTATATTCGTGCAATATTGCTTTCTTGATTATTTATAATTAAAGAGTTTACAAGAATGCTTCAATCTTTGTTTATTTCTGCAGTTTGTTTCAACGCTGGCCTCTTTCTCTCATATGGTTTGGCCTTTCGATCAACGTTCTTCACCCGTTCTTCACCGGAGGGCGGTCAATTTAAACCTGAGCGCCCTCGCGCAGGCCCTCTGGACAGCCAGAATTTGAGAGGTGAGGTCATGGGCTTTACACAGCTTGTTAATTTTCTTTTCTTGGAAATGGGGACTGGAAAAGGCACAGCGCCATAGGATGTGATGAAGCACAGAAAATGACTATTTACGTCTGCTTTGTTGCGCACACGTTGTCATGACAGTTCATCTGAATATAGTTTTTCTTGCGGTCAACTCCTCGCCTAGCTTTAGGATACCACCTTTCACTACTTTCCAATACTCGTCTGAGCCAATAATTACGCCATTTTGTTTCACTCTGTGTTTCTTCCTATGACGTCGGCCAGCTTCAATTCATCCTCTTCTTACCTGTTTTGCAGTTCGATAGTTAGGCACGGTACTATTTCTTTTGAAATCACGTTCACATCCACTGCTTTCAATAGCACTTCTTCACCGCTGTAGGTACTCAGTTTTACTTCCACAAACTTCATAAGTCATTCAGTTTCATCTCCTCCCAACGAGCCTATTGTCAGTCGCTGTTCTCTTATCTTAGCAGGCAAATTTCTCAGGCAATCTTTCAGAACAAAAGATCTTTGGCTGCCCGTATCCATTAAAACATGACAATAACATGACTGACTTCTGCCTTCTGCCACTGCTACTGCAGTCTGTAGAAAAACTCTTCAACTCTACATACATTGGAAAGTGGATGCTTTATTTTTCTTGTCTTGCAACCTTAACAGACACTTCAGACTGGGGTGTGCTTTCTTTGCTCCGGCACATACATGTTCTGTGATGTTTGCAAGTTATGTTGCACATTATGTTTGCCTTACTTATTTTGGCAGTATGGCGAAGCCTCGTACAACGGAAGCGTCAAATGAAGCTTTTGGCTTCATTTTCTGCTCTTCAAACGGCATAACTTTCCTGCAGTTATCAGTATAGTGATTATGAGTGTCACAAAATATGCAAATATTTGCAATTGCACGTTGCAAACTAGAAATTCTTTCTTGCTGGTTACTTTCGGTGCTGCTATTGTTGCTTTTTTGTGACAAATTCTTCTCTGCATTACACTTTATTATCTAAGCATTTCATCAAAAACTTGGGGTTATCTTCTTGAAGTCAGGAGTATTCTGACCTTCTTTTGACGATCTACTGGCGACTATCCCTTGTTTCAACTGGAATGCACTCTACATCTTCACTGGCAGCGACATTTTATTATTTGCAGCAGCATTGATGCGTAGTTGATGCTATTGAAGCTTAAGCACTGCAATCCTCACGTG